GTGTGGAAGCGGTTTTGCCAGTGGGTACCTGCACGTTGGGGTCTTGGGGGCGGCAAAACATGGTGTGAGAAGGGAACTCGCTGCCCAGGGGGTGGCAGGGGACAGGGGTGAAGGTGTCAAGTGTGAAGGGGACAGGGGTGAGGGTGGCAGGGGACAGGGGTGAAGGGGATGGGAGTGAGTGGGACAGGGCCGGGGGGACAGTGGTGAGGGGGACACAGATGAGAGCGGAAGGGGACAGTGGTGAGGGTGGCAGGGGACAGGGGTGAGAGGGACAGGCCACCTCCCCACTCCCCAGGCCCAGAGAGGACGTCACCGTCAAGAAGGAGAAGAAGGAGCGGGACCGGGACCGGCAGCGCGATGGGCACGGCCGGGGCCGGGGCCGGCCCGAGGTTATCCAGTCCCACTCCATCTTTGAGCAGGGCCCTGCTGAAATGATGAAGAGGAGAGGTAACGGGAGCTGCCCCCCCACCCCCTTTCCCCATTGCGGGGGGCGTCTTGGGGCTGTCCTGCCTGAGTCAGGGCTCACCCCCGGGCTGCTCCCCTCTCCCCAACAGGCTGCTGGGACAAGTCAGTGGATGTGTCGGACTTCGGCCCTTCCCACATCATCAACATCAAGAAGGAGAAGAGGGAGACGGACGAGGAGACGAAGCAAATCCTACGGATGCTGCAGAAGGACGATGTGAGTGAGGCCAGGGCGGGGGGTGGTTTTGGTGGGTGCCACCAGGCCGGCACTGAGCGTCCCCCTCTCTCGTCCCCGCAGTTCCTTGATGACCCGGGGCTGAAGAACGACATCCGTAACAAGCCGGTGCAGCTGCCGCTGGCCCACTCGGGCTGGCTCTTCAAGGAGGAGGTGACAGAGCAGGAGGACTCCCAGTCCTGGCTGCCTGTCCCCAAGGAGGAGAAGATGGAGCTGGACCCGCCGGCAGTGAAAGGTGTGCTGGGGTGGGTGAGGATCCCAGTGGGGAGGGGCTGGGGGGGGGCTGTCCACCCTCTCCATGCCCACCCCAATGCTTCTCACCAGTAAAAGAAGAACCATGTGATGAGGATCCTCCAGCCAAGCCGGCGCAAACCAAGGGCCCCCCCGGTTTTCCCCGGGATGTCTCGGTGGCCGAGCTGCTGCAGCGCCTGAGCTTGTCGGCGGAGGAGGAGCTGCTCTTCCTGCAGCTGCCCGACACGCTGCCTGGGCAGCCGCCCACCCAGGACACCAAACCCATCAAAACGGAGCTGCAAAACGAGGAGGGACAGATGGTGGTGGTGAAGCAAGAGAAGAGCCAGGTGAGGGCTGAGTGTGGAGGGGAACGGGGGACAGCGTGGGGATGTGTGTGTGTCCCCCCACCCTCCAAATCCCGCGGTGTCCCTCGGCAGGAGGCGAAGCAGGCGGAGAATATCTGTACCCTGGCCGACCTCCCCGAGGGGCAGGTGGGGAAACTGCTCATCCGCAAGTCGGGGAAGGTACAGCTGGTGCTGGGCAAGGTGACCCTGGATGTGACCATGGGGACCCCCTGCTCCTTCCTGCAGGTATGTGGTGGCGGGGGGGGGGAACTGGGGACCCAAGATAGTCCCTGATGGGCTCGTGCTGGCCCCCAGTGAGTGGGCAGCGTGTTGTGGTGGGGAAGGATCCTGCTCTTGTGTCCGGGAGGGGCACATCTCCTGGGCAGGGACCTCGGCCCTTCTCCCACCACGCTCACAGAGTTTCCAGTGGGAGGGGGCTGCTCACAGGCATTTTTTTTCCCCTCTGGACAAAGGAGCTGGTGTCTGTCGGTATCGGGGACAACCGGACGGGTGAGATGATCGTCCTGGGCCATGTGAAGCACAAGCTGGTGTGTTCCCCGGACTTTGAGGCTTTGCTGGAGCACCGGCACCGGTAGCCCAGGGGCGGCCCAGCCCCTGCCCCCACAGCCTGTGGGGACAGTCACTGCACTGCTCGGGGACCCTGCAGCCCCCCCTGGCTCTGCCCTCAGCCCCTCCAGCCTTGCCTTTGGGGACACGGAAGAGGTGTCTTCTGCAGGTGTGGGTGCAGGGCTGGCTCCTACCTCCTTCCCGGCCCTGCAGCGGGGTTGGGGGCTCCGGTTTTGTCCCCTAGACCCACTGCCCCTCCCTGTGCCAAACCAGCAGAGGCCGTGGCCGCCCTCATCTCACAGATTTCTGGCTGTGTGGGACCGTGGCGGGGGTGTGTGTGTTCCAGCCTCCAGCAGCCGCACACTCACGCTGGGGAGAGCAGGACATGCACCTTGGGTGGAATAAAAACTTTTTTCGCTGCTCCATCTCCTCCTGTGCCCTCTGATGCGCTGACCCATTGTTCCCTGAGCTCGGTGCTGCCTTGGGGAGAGCCGGGGGGGGGGCCTCCCCTGCACCGTTCCAGGGCTTGGTGGGCAGAACTGCAGCCTCTCCCCCCACCCCCCCAAGCCCAGGGCTGCGCGCGGGGGTGCTGATCACCCTGAGGGGCTCCGTGCCCAGGTGAAGGACAGGTGCGACCTGCCAGGGGACCAGCATTGGCCCTGGGCTCCCCGAGCCACTTTGCAGAATTGGGGGGAGTGGGGTGGGGGGGCTAGTGAGTGGCTCCCACCAGAGCCCAGGAGGCTGTGTGTCGAGAGGGGGGGGACATGGACACACACACAGCACCCAACCACTGTCTCTTAT